TTAAAGAGCGCCCTCCTGTGGCATGTATTTAATAATTAAAATTAGTCAGGTTCCCCGACACCCAAACGCACTTTATCTTGTTGTGTTCGTCTATGTGGACACCATACACTGTATTAATTGCGCATGCGGTCAGGTTGGGTCATCGACCGAAGGAATACACGTCACTGCTGACAACATTATGAGCATACTTGTAACTTTACTCTGTGGTAAGAAGTAGGATTGCTTTCTTTACAAAATTATGGAAAAAGCAACCTCCCATTATGGTATTCAGAGTATTTACAAGACCCAAATATGCTTATTTATACGCTATTTAGGTTTACTTTTATTTGTTTTGCTTTTTTTCGCTCACAAAATAGGGACCTGAGTTAGACGGATTCTCAGACGAGCAAGCAAGCACGCCTAGCTCAAGTCGACAAGACGGGTGGTAGACGACCGTCCGCAAGCCCCCTACAGTAATGTTAACAGGCAACACCAATTTGGGTAGGGTAGGCGCTACGTCAAGGTGAGGTTGTGTTCTCTGCTTTGCCAAAACTTTATACAGAAATACTAGAACGATGATATAGCCAGGCCTAGCCTACGGACAACACTTCCTGACTTGACATGCTTGATGCCTCTGTCTACCCTCAGAACTGTGGGGTCCGACATCCGCCCCATTCGTGGGAGCGGGGCGGATGTCTGACCCCACTGCCACAGTTCTGGGGGTAGCCTCTGTCATTGTCTGTGCACAAACCAATGATATGAGACTTGCCTGAAATTAAAACCCAGGTGTTGTCCAAGTAAATGTTTGGGAATTTTCCCAGCTAAATTTCCCTTTTTAGGACATGTTATCACTTTCTTATAGCTGCTAATGATATGAGATTTTAAGGGAAATTAGTGTTGTCCGTATATGGAACTCTTCCCGAAATACTTGTCTGTAATTAGAACTTCGGACACCACCATTTTTCCCTGCAGTCATGAACGTCATGGCAGTAGTGGAAATGTTGAGGTAGGTTCACTTAAAAAGTGGTGGTTTCAAGTGGCGTCCATCGTGTCCATGCATGAAATTCTTTCGTAGAACTTAGTTGACAATGTAGCCATGATAGTTGCAAAGTGTTGCTTGGTCATGTTGATTTGCCATTGGCACCATTAACCATAAAAAAGCATGATGAGTCTGGAGCCATTCCAAATCAAACCACCAGTTTGTTTTTCAGTGATACCTGCATGTCAATAGGCCTGTTACGCCCCAAGTATAGCATCTTTCCCAACTGTAGCCACAGTTGAGCTGGCCCAACTATTAATGACCAGTTTCTGTAGAAAATTTCTCAACCTTATCCAAGTTTATGCATCTCACCTTTGACACAATTCATCTAAAATTTGGCACTTCATCTATGAAGTAAACAATTGTAAAACAGTAAAACGTTGTAAACAATATGACTTTGGCACATGCTGAGCTTATGCACTGGACCTCTGTGCTGTACATCTAGGTGGGCTGGCCGAACTTAGCGCACTCTAGTTGGGATGGGCCCAACTATACTTGGGACGGCTCCTATTATAGTTGGGACTGATGCTGTGCTCTAGTTGGGGCGCAACAGTCCTGTTCACAATAATAGTTATGATAATAGTTATAGGAAAGAGTTCCATTCACGGACTCCACCTGACACCCTGTGCACAAACCCTGTGAGACTAGTCTGAAAAATTCTCATTGTTTTCTAAGTATAATGACTCAAATATTGTCACTGCTGAATTTGGATTTTCAGGACATGTTATCATTTTCCAACGGCTACTGCAAGGGAAACTTTAGTGATGGAACTCTCACTGGGAATCTCTCTGGTTAGCACTGAACTACACTCAAGGCCCTCACGTGTCATTGTGTATTCAGGTTTAAATTTGAGAACCCAAATTCAAATTTAGTTGGTACATTGGGATGGAAGATGTTGATTTGTAATGACGGGTTCTTATTTTGTAATGATTCACCATATGAAATAATCAGTGGTCAATGATTTTGCCCCCGTTTGTAGACTTGTACCCTACATCACCTTGCTAGTTATCTCTAAATGCCTGAGGTCGCTGGGTCTCTGTCTTGCCTATGATGTGCTCAAGGTGGTGCATCTCATCATCTTTGTGTTCCTCATAAAAGCTGGGTAAGTTTACAGCAGCATTATGATTTCAGAAGTGTGTTTTCTTAACCACGGAAGTCCCTGACCTTCATGTCTCTGTGCCTTCTGCTGAATTAAAAAAGAGGGGAACCATACTGAACATTGCCCTTTGGTAACCCCCTGCAGAGCTACGATGTCCAATCTATTTTGGGGCGTGGGGGGTCATTTTGTTTACACATGAAGACACTCATTCTCAGTGTGCAAGATTTTACGTAGCTACTCAACCCAAACAAAGAGACTTAAATTATTGTCGTTTATAATGTTCACTACACTGTGAGAGTTAGCTCTTTTCCCCCTGCGTATTTAGTCTTTTGGGCTCTCGTCACATGAATAGTAGGGACGGTAAGTTTAGTTTTGGAAGTAAAAAACTCTGTCAACATGTCTGCAGAGCATTTGGTGCAAACCTCATATTTGCCCAGTACGATAAAAAGAATATGTCTCGCTGTGGCAGCAAACAGTATACAAGCATGTGGACTGTCAGCCTAGGTCTGTGAAGGCTGAATGCTGTGTTACATCCGTGCCATCTTTTACCGTGGTTTCTGAGCCAAATATGAAGTGGCAAGCTGTGTACTCATTGTGTTTGCCCGACACAGGTCTGCTGCACTGTTGTTGCCAATCCAAAGGCCATTTTCATCTGGGAAAAGATTGACAAAGAGACAGGTGAGATTAATGACTAAACAGGGCTGGAATCACTGAATGCAACTCCAGGATGATATTTAGCGGTATCTTTCAAGTTCATTTTGAAATGCTTTGGGTAGAGGGGGCCAAAATTTGAAAGATTTTATTTCCCCTTCCATTAGAATTAAAGTGTGTTCAGCAACAAATCATTACACTTAAATGAGCTCTTTGTTTGGATTCATTTTACAACAGATATTTAGGATTTGATGTGGCGTTTTGAGAAAAGAGCGGTCACCAGTTGTTGCTGGTTGTCGGAGGACAGAAGATCAGAAAACTTGAGACTGTTTTTTTTTTCTCTCCCTGTCAAATGTTCTTTTGTGCAGTGGATAGGTGTGTTCCGCCATGCATTCTTCGGTGCCCTGATAACATTGCTGTGGATATTTGGGTTGACACTGTGCGGAACAGTCAGGTATTTAAACCTTCCCTCAATCTCAAATGTAAGTCGGGGTTTTCCTTGATACTGTTATCACCGTGGCTCAAGCATTTCCAGCATTAGAGAATGATGCTGGCCAGACGAGTGGTTAGGATTAAGTACGCAGCATGCTGTGGTAGTTATTTCTTTACGTGGGGGGTTTTGATTGCTCAAGTTCCTGACAGAGAAGCAAGCAAGGACAGAAAGAGTGTTCTTTGGTGGGTTGTATTGGAGAAACTGGATACTCCTCTCTTTATAGTCGTTTCAATTGGCACCACTTGCAAAGCATTTTGCAATCCTGAAGTGCCTGTTAACCCTAACCCCAGGGTTGCAATGGTGGAACTTACCTGGTATTGTTCAAGGCAGTGATGGAACCTACCAGGTATTGTTCAAGGCATTGATGGAACCTACCAGGTAGAGTTCAAGGCAGGG